AGGGAAGGATGGATAGCCTTGAGATTCCATAACTCAAGTACTATGATAGTAGCACGTGTGCTACTGGGGATTGTTATAAGGGTGTGACAACAACGTGGTTGTCTGTGGGGAAAATGGCCAAAGGCCCTCTGTCAGTGTCAGAAGTGGTGTCACTGGTGTCACCACTCACCAGTGTGCCAGTGATTGCTCAATCATAATAGAAGCTGTATGGAACCAGGAGACCACTAGCCTTTTATAGTATAGCTATGTTCGTGGAGTAGGTTCTCCACCAACCGCGCCTTGCCTGGTCAGGTAAGGTAATCGGCAAGGTACAACCAGAATCATAAGATCAACTGAGAATTTGAAGTACTCAGTACCGACAAGGGAGCCACGGATGCAGTAAAACAGTTGCAGACAAGAAGATAGAGCTTCACAAACGTTGATCATTGAAGCAGAGGGTAACTGAAGAGTGAGGATTAGATCTTGACCTGTATACTTCGTCGTGTAGCCTCCCATTTTGAACAAGCCGCACCCTGGACTTTTGTATTTGATTGGTTAGGTTCATTCCAGGTCGGAGAATCGGTAGACAAAGCAATCCGTGACAAGGATCCCGCAGCCGGAGCCCAATCTCGCCCCGGTCGAATGGACTAAGGTAGGATCTACAGTGGCACGTTCAAATTTTTGAATCCAGTTGTATTTACTGCTAACCTGATTGGGTAATCCACTACTATGCTTCTGCGGATTTGGATCTTAAGATACCTCTCCTAAATTAATTGACATCATGGCGCTTTGCAAATAATAATCACCGAAGATGTGATCATGCATCTATAGGCTTCCCACACATTAGGTGTAATCATTAAGTTTTATAGAAAACATCCTAATATCCTGCTTAGGATTATTATGACTACTAATTGTTGAGGGATCTATCTGGATTCTTAATCAGGCTAGCGGTAAATACATTACGTGCCACTGCAGTCTAAATGTACCTTAGATAATAATTTGCAATGGTGACCATTCTCGATGAGGCTTATTAGCGTCGACTAGATGTCGATGGCATCATCGCGGTATTATCGAGTCTCGACTCCTTAGTGCAATTGACAGCCAAGCCCTGCACAGGTGCACAGTTTGTATGGATCTTGCACTACCATGCGATCGTCTCCTGTCATTCATCTATGTCAAACGCGACATAGGTAAATCTGCTGACATCATGGAGACCTCGATTGAAGCATCGAAATCTGAAACGGGAAGGATGAGAAAGGTTACCCGTTCTTCATAAGAATTCAGCCTTGCCTGGTTGCCTCAGGCTGTGAGTTGGGATCATGCAAATCGCCAAGGACGCTGTACTGTAATTTTCTACATGAGGTTAGGCGTGCGGAGTAAATTACCAGCTTGAGTCCACTGTTGATCTTGATTCCTGAAGCTGGAAGGTAAAAGCGTAAAAGCCTCAGGGTGGAGAACGGACTCAGCCCTTTCTCTCCGGCGTAACTTTTCAATTGGTGCAATTATTGACCCTCTTGGCTTCAGCTCAGCCATGTCAACGGGCTTTCACCAACTGCCTATTTTGACATTCATCGTCGTTCAGACATGGTATGGAATCCTGGGTACTGCAGTGACTTGCAAGTCTGGACCCTGAGCAGGTGACGACCCCTGAAATAAGCAGAATCTCACCAATCACAAGTGTCACTATCAATAAGGATTCTGCCACAGAGGAAGATCAATCGTCCAGATAGCATCATCTGAGAATTGAATAACCACTAACTGATGTGGCTTGCGGGCTTGCAGCCAATGCTTCACCAAGTTCCAACAGATAGACTAGTTGATCCCAAGGCTGGGACAGTCTTCTGAATCTGTGTGGATTCCGCTCAAGCAGACTCTGGTACTGGTAGACCAAATGCCATTCTAGTGTTCATGATAGTTTCTCATCGCCATCTCCTATCTTGGCATCTATCTCGACCACAGCAAACGGTAGGAACCGTCTGTGCTCCTATCAGTAGTGGAATAGCGGCCCCGTCATCGCCAAGTGCCGCGACCGAATTTTAGCAATGAATTGGAGTATTGGAGAACGATCTCAAGATCGACTCCTTTTATCTCAGAACACATCCTGATCGAGTAGGAGTCTGTCAGGGGATCACTAGTTGTCAAAGGTTTCGAGTCAATCCACCCCATCGGAGGCCCTCCGCATGATTCACTAATACTCCGTAGTCCGTAGTCTAGTCTACTCCGTACTATCGCAGCAGTAGTAGCCTAGTAGGTAATATTAGCTTTCTGTCCCTGGGCCTGACGAAACTGGCTCGGCAGACTTCCGTCGTCGTGACTACTTAATCTTGCCTAGCACCGTTGCGTCTCGCTTGACTAGGCGGTTCACGATCGGCGCCATACCAATCAGCTCTGTATCCAAGCACATGTAAATGAGCGCCCCATTGGATAGATATTCTACTAGGCGAGAAATGGGACAATGACTTTACCTGGAGCGATGCGGGCTCTGCAAACTGCTGGACGAGTATGTTCGCTTCTAACAGCCAGAAAGGGAGATAAGTTCCTGCATTTCCTTATGAAGATGACCTGGCTAGGTAGACCCAGCCAGCCAGCTCGAGCAGGGGCTAGAACGGAAGACATGCTGCATGATCATCTCCAATATCCTCTTTTCTACGATGCTGTCGCTATGACCATTTAAATGGCCATCACAGGCAAAAGGTCGGTCAAAGTTCTTGCTCTTGTCAATCCGTTCTTCTGAAAAACATGCCTTTTTCTGAGTATGAGTTGTCAACTTGTGCATCGCAACTGATAAATACGTAGTTGTTTCTGGTTGGACCCTTGAGATTTCTGCAGACCTTTTTTTTTTTTCGGGAGCGGCAAATGGTCTGTCAAACTTGTCGATCTTGAAGCTTTGGTAAAATCCTGGACTGCGCCAACTGTACTAAAATATACTAGGCCGGAACCAGATCTGTCATTGTCCCCGCTACATACTCCGTCCAACAGCCTTGTATTTCGCTAAAGATGGGTTCTCGACCAGCTAGATAAACAAAGGTGTTGTTAAACCAAACTGTGAAGAAGAAGTCAAAAATGCCCCTTAATTAACTACTTCTTTTTGCGTTTGGATAGGATTGATTCCTAGCTGGGATGCAGATATTGTCTAACACACCGTGGCTAATGCCAGTGGCAGCATAAGTACAAGCCAACACAGATTAATTCAGTAATTGGTTGTTATATCTCATCTACATAAATTACAGCGTAGCATGAAAATATATGAAGGTTAGATTAAATCAGTTGCTCGAGCCAAGCCATTGCCAGCTAAAGACAAGGATTCTCTCCTGCGTACCTACTTCATTTTCCGGCATGGGAAACTGGTAATGGGTAACCAACTAGTAATACACGTGCATGTGCCTTGAGGCGATTGAGGGACAGCCTGAGGTGTCTCTTAGAGGTATTGTCTGGAGAATACCAGTTGCCTAATTGATCAGTCATGCTCTCTTCAAGGCACCCCCACACCCGCGGCCAATCAATAGTGCTTAGCTCACCAAGTAACTGCTGAAGGACATTCTGCACACCATTAGGTTCATCTCAATCTTCACCTCATATTCCATACGCGAATGCCACATGCCATACCGCTTCCTGTAGGATTTCGGCAAAGAAGACGATCACCAACAATCGATGGACGTCCGCCACCCAATCGTATCAGGCCAATCCTGCGAACCAACACCTCCTGCAGAACGGACACGATGATTTGCTCGTATTACGGGTCATCACGCACCGGGTAGACAACCCGTGTGGCTACTCATACAGGATGACACTCGACAAGGTGAGCTGAAGCTGACATCATCTTTCCTATCATCCTTGCTGTTTTGTGAAGACACGGGAGGTGAGATGGTACAATGCCGAGTGTTTCCCTTGCTTTCTCTGAATCCTACCAAGGCCCTATCATGATATCATGCGCTTGGCCATGAGGACATAGGTGGTCAGATGTCTAGATCGAACGCTTACTGGTCAGTCGGGCTGACTGAGTCCAGCTTCGATCGTCGTCTTCCCTCTTCCGTGTCTGCGTACTCGGCCCTTCTGGCCGGTCTCGCAGAGCTGAGATTGGACATACCCGTCGCCACAGACGTCGAATTGATCTGCACGGACGACCGGATATTATCCCCAGGTTCTCCTCTCCTTGCCACATTCTGCTCTCACTCTCAGTCACGGTGGTACGGAGCAGCGGCCAAGAGGATGATGTTAGAGCCATTACTGCAGATCATGCTCGGCGCTACGCCAACACAATGTTTCTCACGGTCATATGAGACGAGACTGGCTAGACTGGAACGTATCTTCAACAGAGGGACAGAGGAGGCCCTGTATTGATCCAGCCCGAGCTGCATATCTCTGAGTGAGTAGGATCCTGTGTTAACCACGTGGCTCGGACCGGGATTCGCATCGACATGACGGATACATGCCAGCAGAGCAATAAGTAGGCTCCAGTAGACGCGCACGTGGACTGTGCAGAAGTTAAATCTTATGTTAGTCTGCGTGGCCTTTCTTAGGAAGTGCATAGGAGAGATAACGAAGAGAGGTTGAATACCGGTCTGGTGATGTCTGACAACTGTATCGTATGTTAAGTAATGGCGACAGAAGGTAGAAAGGGACGTGTGGGATGTATCTGCATGCTCGGACTCGAGAATCGAAGGAAGAAAAGTAGAGAAGTTGATTCTTTTCATTGCAAACGGTCACACTGAATTCCGAAACGAGTGTCCCGCTGGAGGAGTCCATATTTTAAATACAGAACCAATGCCAAAAAGCTCGCTCGACAAGATTGCTGTACAAAACCCCTCTAGATGCATTCATGAAGACAAATATGGAATACAGGCAAGAATGGCGAAGTAAAAGCAAAAAACACCATATATGCTTATCCTAATATGCCGAGAGTACATTCGCTGTGATGCGAGATGGTTGGGAAACATCCATGTTGACAATAACCTGAACGGTAGTATGGGAGTGAAAATCAAGGTGGGTAGATCGTGATAACAAGCGAAATGACGCCTGAGTTAATGAGCAACAACTGCTTTGAGAATATTCTTGAGCTTCGACTGTTCCTTAGGAGGCTCATCTCTCCGATGTCTGTGATGGTGATGGCGTGTTTCTCCACCATGACGGTGACGATGATGGTCGGATGTTTCTCTTTCCTTTGCCTGCTCTGCTTCGCCCGCGGCCTTTCGTCGCGCCCGTCTCTCGCGTCGAGCCTGCTCTTCCTCCTCCGCATGATGGGAGCTTGTGGAACGGTCCGTGGACCCTCTTCCTTCGTGCGAGTGACGGTGACTGTGGGAATGGCTTGTGGAAGACCGACGTTCAAACACATTTGCAGCAGCTTTGTCACCATTGATCTTGAGAAGGGGACCGTTTGTGTCTGATTCGGCCGCTGTCATATATTTCAAGAAGGCTCGCGGCTTTGAACCCGATGCATGGCCGTCCCTTGAGGAGGTGCTTCTGCGTTCGCCTCCGCGACTACTCGAGTGCTCTCCGGTCCGTTGGCTCGGTTCGATACTCGCGGCAGCCTTTTCTCGCGAAGAACGCTCGACTTCATAGCTGCCTGAGCGCTCGGACCTTCGTCGACTGGGCTTGATATCCACAGCAGCTTCTTCTTTGGACGAACGCTCGCTTCGTTTAGAGCGCTCTCGCTCCAAGGAATGCCTGTCCTTCTCTGCGTTCTCGGGAGCACGCAATTTGTCTTGACTCCGTTTTTCCTCCTGCCTTTGCTTTTCTTCATGCTGTCTCTTAGCTTCCTCGAGGGATTTGTTCCACCGATCAAGGAGACTGCCACTTCGCTCAAGTTTCTGGCGTGGCAATGTTTTTCGTACTTCCTCAGAGGAACTCTTCGAATGTCCTCTCTGTCCCAGATCCGGGGACCGCCTTTTCCTTCTGCGTGCACGTTCGGCTGCCACGGCGGCTGGAACAACAGCTGGCAAGGCTGCTTCCAAAGGCTCCAGGCCATCGATATCTCTTGAGGTTTCCTCAACAGGAATAGGGACTGCAGCCTCTTCGGAGACTTCTTGTTCCACAGGAGCGGGTTCTTCGACTGGGGCAGGTTCCTCAACAGGAGCAGCTTCCTCTACAACGGCAGGTTCCTCAGCAGGAATCTCCTCGGCGGCAGCAGGTTCTTCAACGGGGGCGGATTCCTCAGCTGGAACAGGCTCCTCGACCGCAACAGACTCCTCAGCAGGAGCCTCTTCCACAGGAGCAGGTTCTTCGACGACGGCAGGTTCCTCAGGAGCTGGCTCTTCAGGAGGAATTTCCTCGGCGGCAGCAGGCTCTTCAACGGGGGCAGATTCTTCAGCAGGAGCCTCTTCCACGGTAGCGGGTTCCTCCGCTGGAGCAGGCTCTTCAGCAGGGACGGACTCTTCAACTGGCGTGGGTTCCTCAGCAGGTTCTTGTGCAGATGCTGGCTCCTCAGGAGAAATTTCCTCGGCGGCAGCAGGCTCTTCGACGGGGGCAGATTCCTCAGTAGGGACAGACTCCTCAACAGGAGCCTCTTCCACGGTAGCAGGCTCTTCAGCAGGGACAGACACTTCAACTGGCGCGGATTCCTCAGCAGGTTCTTGTGCAGATGCAGGCTCCTCAGCAGAAATCTCCTCGGCGGGAGCACGCTCTTCAACGGGGGCAGGTTCCTCCGCTGGAGCAGGGTCTTCAGCAGCAACGGACTCTTCAACTGGCGTGGGTTCCTCAGCAGGAATCTCCTCAGCGGCAGCAGGCTCCTCAACGGGGGCAGGTTCTTCAACAGGGGAAGATTCCTCAGTAGGAGCCGGCTCTTCAACAGGCGCAGGTGGATCAGCCGGAGCGGATTCTTCAACTATGTCGGGTTCATCAGCAGGAGCAGGCTCTTCCGCTGGAATAGGCTCGTTAGCCTCCGCGGCTGGAGCTGGGTCTTCAGCCGCGGGTTCTTCTGTTGGGGCAGGCTCCTCAACAGGAGCCTCATCAACTGGAGTGAGTTCTTCAGCCACAGCAGGTTCTTCGGTCGGAGCAGGTTCTTCGGCAGGAGGCGGTTCCTCAGCGGCAGCCTCTTCAGCTCGAGCAGATTCGACTTCTGGAGTAGGCTCTTCAGCAACAGGTTCCTCTGCAGGGGCCTCTTCAACAGGAGCAGGTTCTTCAGGGGTCACGTCCTCAACAGTAGTCGATTCTGCAACAGGAGATTCTTCAGCTGGGGTCTCCTCCGGTTGCGCAGGTTCTTCGGCTTCAGGCGCTGCGGGGGGTGGCTCCTCAGCAGCAGGAGATTCTTCAGGCGCAGGCTCATCTGCAGGTGGGGACTGTTCGGTAGGTGCCGGCTCTTCGGCCTCAGGTTCGGGGGAAGCAGATTCTTCGACAACTTCTTCCGAAGGCGGCGACTCTTTAGCAGCTTCTTCAGTGGGAGGTTGCTCGGGTGGTATTTCATGGGCGTCCTCTTCCTTTTCTTCCGCTGGAGCTTCCGCAGGAGTTTCCTCTGGTCGAGCCACCTCATCACTTGGCGGTGCTTCTGGAACCGCTTCGGCGACAGCATCTTCAGCCACAGCTTCGTCCACGGCCGGTGTCTCAGCTGCTGCTTCTTCCGATGTGGGAGCTTCGGCTACCTCCTCGTGCTTGTCCTCGACTGGGCTTTCTTCAACCCCAGGCTCTTCAGGGGTTTTCTCAGCAGTGGGCTCCTCTAGCGTGGGCTCTTCCAGTGCGGTTTCGTCTGCAACGTCATCTGCTGTTGCATCCTTGGCAGCTACCGCTTCTTCTGGAGTGTTGTCCTCCGCCGTTTCAGTTGACGCGGCGGGCTCCTCAGCAGGAGGTTCCTCGGTGGAAGCTTGTTCTTCATTGATGGGCTGCTCTTTTGAGTCCGCAGCCTCGGCAGCCTCGGCAGCCTCGGCCAAGCCGTCAACTACCTCCGCTTCAGGTGGTGGATCGCTCTGTTCTTCAGCAGGTCCGTCCGGGGCTGGACTATCCTCCGTGTCGGGTTTCGTCGCATCTTCTTCTGCCGACCCGGCCGTCGGTGGGTCGTCCTGTACGGGAGCAGCTTCTTCGCTGTCCGGATTGTCTGTAGGTGAGTTCTCATTTCCAGTATCAATATCGACGTCATCAGGGACACCTGCTGCGGCTGCTGCTGCTGCTGCCTCCTCTTCTGCTTTTGCATCCTCCTCCGCTTGCCGTGCCGCCTCCTCTTTCTCAGCCTCGACCTTATCGAGCTCCGCGGACGGATCACATTCTGGAAAATCATCCTCTGGGAATGAGGTCAGCTGGTTTTGTGCGTTCCGGTATCCGTAAGCATACCGTTGCTGTCGCCTTCCTTGCTTTCTGGCGCGGGACTCTCATCTACCGCAGCTGCGGCACCATCACCTTCCTCGGGCGGTGGGTCTTGCGCGTCATCCTCAGTGGCCGCTTGCGTCTCGGACTCGTCGGGGGTGGCAGCGTCTTCCGCCTTCTGCTCGGTACCGTCTGCCTCTGGCGCAGGTTCTCCTTCTTCCTTGGCTTCTGGTGCAGGCTCATCTGACGGTTCAGACTGAGGTGGAGCAGCTGCCGCTTCAGGTGACTCTAGACGAACGTGAGCAAGGTGCCCAGATAAAGAGAGAAGGTAGCGGCTGACAAGCATACGTACCTTCGGATTCTGGTGCAGGTGCAGCGTCATCGGGAGAACTACTTGATCCTTCTACTGGAGCACTCTCTGGGGATGGGCCTTCCTCTGAATTGGACGCGTTGTTGGTGATATCCTGATCCTTATCCGATGTCAGACCATCCGAAGAAGTAGCAGTGACGGGATAAAACGAAAATTGCAAAGTTTGACGGTCGAAGGTCTGATATTGACGCTCGAATGTCTGATATTCAAACTTGGGAAGCTGTGCATACTGTAGGTTGGCCATGGTCCCCAGCCTCGGCGGCCTCTTCAAGGCCGGACTCGGCTGTAGGGTTGTCTTCAGGGAGGGAAAACTTATTATCGTTCACCGGCAGGCGTTGCTTATTATTGTTATTGTTCTTCTTTTTGTTCTTTGCTCGATTTTTGGCCATGGCATCGGATCAGTAACAGTACGCCCAGCTATAAGCCTCTCGGTTCGGCCCAGTTGATATATCGATTTATATAGACAAAGTACGTCTTCCCTGTCAGACTCTCTTCAGGGGTAGCAAACGATCAATCAGATAAAAAAAGAAAAGGAAGATGCAAGAGAACGGAATGGAAGATTCAGACATGAACAGGCATGGAAAGACCAGACAGTCATGTGTCACGGAGGCCAAATCGGGATTGAACAAGCAGCACACGTCTTGTCCCTCCGCCAACAGCATGGTGGTTCCGCCCAAGGTCCAAGGCGAGGCGACGTATAGCCGTCCACCTGTACCCATTGGGATGGGATACAGTCAAACTACAGTTGAGTCTTGAGGCCGGATGGCCGTGGGACGTCGCCGGCGAACTACCCAACGGCATGGTTTTTGATTGGGCCACGTCTCACAGATCCAATAGCCCTTGACGAATTTAGGAAAAGAGCTTGGGAGACCCCCTCCCGAAAGCATCGCTAGGGCCGGGAAAAAGCAGGACGATTGCCATCTGCAGGAAGAGCATGCAGTAGCCAGCACAGGTAGCGGGGCGAGAATGGGAATTGACGATAGGGAGAAAGGGAAGCCGTCCAGTGGTGGAGTTGCGTGGGTTGTGGATAACTGGTGGGGGTGGTGCCACCGATAGATAAATCATGATTGTCTGTGTCGCTTTCTCTGTTTCTGGCCATAACCCGCAATAGCCTCGCGCGGTTAAGCCAACGCGCATGGACGAAAAGAGTAAATCATTAGGAGAAGCGACCAGCAAAGAGAGGGCTTTCGTCGGGCAGCTCCTATGCTAGACAATAAACATCATCCTAATGGCATCGTAGATGCCAAGCAGATCGAACACAGAAGAGAGGAAGGACGTGGGCTGTTTCCTATGCTTGGAAGAAAGATAGACCGGAAGCCTCCAGTGGCCAGACAGCGAGGATGACAATCATGTTCAACCTCTCAGGGACACTCCTCAATCACCGATTCCTGCCCAACGCAAATTGTGGGCGGCGGCCGGAATAGGGTGCATAATGTGTGGAGGATGCGTCGAAGCGCCAGCCAGCATGACTGGGATCAGACTGGAGTGCATGATCGACTTCTGTCCTGTTCTACAGCAGAGTGTCAATCATGATCACCAGATTGTCTCATTTCTGCGATTACGACACCGAGGATGATGGTTGGGACACGGAATAGAAAATTCTTGATGAAATCGAGTCTTTGGAGGGGGAAGGAGAAGGCGTTCCAACTCCACCGAGACACTTCAGCAACACGAAGATCAGTCTAGACTGCTTTAGGCAATGCCCAAAATACTCACTCCAACGAACCAACTCCATCTACTACTGTCTTTTGAAGAAACCACATCTGATGCTATATTGATGTTATCATCTGGGTGAATTGGATCCCGCCAAGAAGAGTCTCACAAATTGAGGAGCCACCGAATAACCCAGAAGTCCTGATTGTGAAACACCAAAAGTTGTCACAGTAATCAGCGGGTTTGTTTACTATTGCTGCACCTAAAAAATGAGGCGAGGATTGCTGCTTTGGCGGTCAATGAGTGGTCAATTTCCGCCTAAGTATGGAGCACTAACTAGCCAGAACAGTTTGGGCCCATTTGAAACTGAAAGGATCACGCCTCTCTTAATCAATATTGATGAAAGCAAAGGAGAGGAGAAGAACAATAAACCAAGCTATCCTGACTACGGAGTATGCCAGAGTGAACAGCAGCCCGAAAAGAGCAGCTCAGCACATTCAATGCTACCAGAAAACCCAAATTCAACTCAAGACAGATAGATAGATAGACGTTGAGAAGTCGGTTGCTTGCCGTCCGTAGCCATAAGCAGGGCGACGAATCATAGAGCCAGATGCAACTGGATATGTAGTAGTACCTTAATAGGTTATCGAGAGAACTTCCCGTGGTGGTTACCTGCATAATTGCAGACGATCCCTGATCCATCACAGACCATTGCTTACCCCAAGTATATTCTCTGCTCCTTCAGCAATTGATTCACAACATGCAAAGAGGTTCAAGGGCTACAGACATAGTATTTGACAAGTCTACTACATATGGCAATCGTATGACAGATAGCGCTGTCGATGCCGCACAAAGATAGTCATGGCCCTGTCTTTACCTCAGTGCGTAGTGCACTACATTTACCAGTAAATGAAGAGATCAGTTGCCACCAAATCAACCAGGCCATCTCAAACAGCCTCCACTCATCATGGCGGCGTTGTCCCTACGCTCTGAATCACCATCGTGCTTCAAGATCAATAGAGCGAAGGATAGGATGTAGTAATATAGAGCATCTGTCACTCCCTACTGTCAATACCCTGAGCTGGACCTACTATTTCTGCATCACAATGCAAACTGCGCGCTTACAGATCACCTACACCAGGTACCAAAAGAGCAGACAATCCGATGATTGCTTTATGCTATGCTAACATGACTCGTAAAAATAACGTTATTGGGGTATCTTTTTGCATTCTGGCCCAAAAGAAGACCAGACTAGTGACGCACAGCATCCATCGACTTTCTCCAACGAGGTCCAAATACTTTCATAGCGAGAATCACCGAGCTGCTGGCGAAAGCGACCAACCCAAGGATCGTAAAGAGCCATCCGTTCCCGATGGCATCAATAATGGGGGCTGTCACTAGCGATCCGATGCATGAGAATATATTTCTCATAAAGTTGTTCAATGCGACACCGGTCGATGATTTCTTGGGCATGAATTCGGTCAACATCGTCGTTGACATACTGAATATGAGCATTGATCCGACACCAAAAAAGAAGTTGGCAACCATCTGGGAGACAAAGTTAGATTTCACCCTCTCAGTAGAACAAAATGCTTGACCAACTAACCGGCGCAAGCCAGAAGACCCCCTTGTCAGCGGTCCAGCCGTACCAGATCAATGCTGCAGGATACAGAAGTGCGCCCAGCCAAGCATTCTCACGCATGCGATCCTCCGGACGATAGATCAACTTGCCGTGCTCGTCATATCTGCCGGCCTTCTTAGCCTCACGCTGCATGATTTGGTCCATCCATCGGCCGCCGAAAATACTAGCAGCTATGTAACCCAGCGAGTTCGGGATATAGAGGCATCCAACAATAACGGTGCTAAAGTTGTAGGGGTTCGTTCCAAACGTATGTTCAACGCTAACGTTCAACACGTACAGGGAGCCGAAGGTGATACTCGCGTAGTATACAGTCAAAAGCACTGCGGGATAGCGCAAGTAAAGAACAATCTTAAGAGGGTCAAGGAAAACCATCTTGAGGATCTTCAACCATCTGGCAGTGAGGTGAACGACCTGGCGTGAAGATATCCGGCTGAGTTGTCGTTCAACGGGTGCTTGTTCATCCCCATCACGTGGCTTTTGATTGGCTAATGTCTCAGGAAGTGCAAAAAATATGAATATCACGATGATTCCGCCATAAACGGCCAAGAACCACATGGTACTCCTCCATCGCCAACGCTCTGCCAGAGCACCCCCCATGATGGGAGCGAGCAAAGGACCGCACAGCGGGCCCAGGTAGAAAATGCTCATTGCGCGTCCCCTTTCATGCGGGTCCCACAGATCTGCTATCGTCCCTGCGCCAACTGCTTGAACTGATGCCGATGCTCCACCGCTCAACATGCGCATAACGATTAGCATCGATATGGAATGGGATACGGCACTCAGAACGTTGAACAACACAAAGAGACTGAAGGATACAAGGTATATCGTTCGTCGGCCAAGCCTCTCGCTGAAAGAGGACCACCAAAGTGGAAAGATAGACATACTCAGCATATACAGCGAGATATTCAGGTTGACGACAGTGGTTGGTGCGTCCATTTCCTTGGATATTTGAGAGAGGGAGGCTATTGTGAGAACCTGTTAGCACGTGCTAATTAACGATATATGGACCGCTTCGGTGAGCGGGGAATTCTCGAAGCGTGAGGGTAGCGAGGCCACCGACGAGAGTTGTTCCCCGAGAAGGGGAGCGCATCAACAAGGGAAGTGGATCGGCCACAACGGGGTCAATTCTAACGGGCAGTTGAACTGGGAGCCACTTACGGAATAGTATCGAGCTACCCATGGGAGCCGTAGATCCTGCCAGCGCGACAATGAATGTGATAAACCACTTCGTTTTTCGGAGATACGTCTTCGGATTCTCAACCTCTGCCAGCAGGGTAAGTTGCCCGAAAAGCCCTCTGCGCTTCAGCCTCGGCACCACTATCGGCAAGCTTTCATGTTCTGCATATGGAATATCAATCGCTGTGCCCTTCACATCCATGGCTGACTGCGCAGGCGAACCCGCGAACGAAGAATGGGCATCCTTTTCGGCACATATTTCTTCGTCTCCGGGCCTTTTGACAGTTGGAGCATCGGTATATGCGGTTTCCGCCGACGTGATTTCGTGAACACCTTCCTCCAAGTCCGCGGAAGTCATTTCCTATATATGGGGAATTCGTTCGTCGTGAAAAGAAAATTCCTGTGGTTGTTCCTCTGAAATTGTGCGGGAGTATAAGATCGATGACGCAAGATGCAACCCTTCTAGCATCAGTCTTGAGAACTTGTGGGATATCCGGGAGATCCAACAGGTAGTTCGTCTGAAGAGAAGAGAGCAAAGCCAAGAAAGGATGGGGGAATTATAGAGCAGTCAATGAAGATAGTGTGCAAATTCTGCAACTGTAGCAATGTCAGTAAATACGACTGGTGGATATATGAGAGAACAGCGATTCTTCCCCATGTTCGTCAGAAAGTAAGGGAGCGGAGAAATTCACTTCAAGAGGATAGATACACCAAAGGCGTCCTCTTGAGTGTAAATGAAGTGTCGTAGAAGGAAGGAAGTGAAAGGCAAATACCTAATAGGTGAAAACAGAAAGAATGTAAGCGTTATCTGCTGATGCCGTTTGAGGCAGGTGTAGATCTACTCGACGATTGATTCTCCCCACTTGCTGCTGGACAACAATTTCCTCTTCAATATTGAATTGAGCGTTCAAAATTTGGTAGCTGGGATACGTCTTCTATCAGAGATATCAACTCTCTTTCTGCGCATTTTCTGTCTGGATACTGCTATTAGTGGGAGAGCAGTCCCTCTTCTCGATTTTCTCCGCATGCGGAACTCATTTTTTTCATGGCTCTGCCAGATACGATTCATAGTGACTCCAAAGTCTACAGTCCAAACGAACTCTCAAGACTTCTCAGTCTCCACATCAATCAAAAGGATGAATCAAAGAACCGAGATAGTGTGCCGTTTGATCCGTAGCGACCAGTTGGAGAGCATGGCACCTTTGGTGATGGCGGGGGTTCCCGCTCTTGGCTTTCCCACCCCCAGTTTACCCGAGGTCAAGCCTACAGTCTTGTCTTCGTCTGCGAGTCGAGTATGGAACAAAGTTAGGAGAATGGAGTATACTTGTCGAACTGGTAAAGGCCCAATAAGCGTTGGCCTAAGCTTTTCATACAGTGACATTAGTACCACTCGAAGCAACATGGCCTGTCCCGTATGTGATCCTAGTTTGTCCTCCGTCGGTCAATGAGGATTTCCTCAGCTGCGACAGGGCAGGTTGCTGATGGTGAGATGGCTTGGGTCAACCTCTCCAAAATATATATTGTCGGCCACCCAATGTAGAGTGAAGGAGCCATCATGTATGGTTGCACGGTTAGAGCACGGCCGCAATACAAAAAGCCAGAGGTCATCAACTTACCTTAACTGCTGAAGGAACCGATGCATACATATAACAAACACCATAGAACACGATCAAAAACAAGGTTCAGCGATAAGAATTGCACCATATCTTCCTCAGTTATCCTGACACATCCTAAAGCCGCAAAAAGAACATCAGGTTCTGGGAGATAAGTCTCCAGTGCTAGCCAATTGATAATTGGACTCTGCTCCATGGAAAAAATCTGTCGACAGAAGTATCGACGTCGTCAGTCTATATCAATGGCGTGTTTTCCTGGTATACCTCGTGCATCCTAAGCCCCCGAACGCAAGGCAAAATGACAACAAATAGCAAACCATAGCCGTCGTTCCAGAGACCAGGATGTCAGTCACGCAACGGGTTTGGTCTCTGCTCTACCGCCGGATAGGCTCCTTAGTTACCGGGCAACATGCGACGGGGCGTGGGACGTACATGAGTCGCCTCATACGCCGAGAGGGGTCTGAACCGCGAGCAATGGCTTGGAATTGACGATGGGAAGCACGTTTCGAGAGGATCTAGGGGATATCGAAAGGGTTCATTATGTCGATATCGATACTTCGAGCAGAAGCTAGGTTGCCTTTGGAGAGTTCTTCGAAACTTGTCGGGCTCAAAGGATGCACTCGTCAATGGACGCGTAAAGTAGGATTTTCTACAGGTCACGAGAGACATTGCTACGAAAGTATTAAGACATTCCATAAACCCAACTGTATTTAATAGCAAACACGCAGCTGCTACGTGGATCCGATGTGAATGGATTCCTCACAGCAGGTCGTTCGAAGTGCGGTCACCGGATTGGAATGCTACTGTGGTATAAGGTAAACTGATATATTATTGACTTCAGATGAGTGCTTAGAGATGGTATCCATATTCATTTCAAACATTAACTGCAAGACCTGTCCATGACTCTCTCTTCAGCCAGTCTTTCATTCCACCCTAGGGGTGAAATCCAAGACGACGAGGAAGTTGAGTGATGACTCGGAAAAGCAAAATGTGGCATCACAGAAAGAAATCAAATGAAAGAGACAGTCCAGCTCAAGTAGAGGGGAAATCAAAGAAAATAAACTGATTACAGAAGAAAATATGAATCGACACGCCAACTGTGGAACGCCTTTTGAATAATACAAGTTCCTTCACATACGTCCAACTACAATATCGGGCCCATGACCCTACCAATGACCCTGCCGGAAGTAACATCCAAGGTATATATGATTGATTTGGGATGATGTGATATCGTCCGAATATCCTGCCCAAACGGGGTGACCTGCTCGAGAAGCTCCCTGATTCGCATCTTTCATAGAAACAAGGACAGCGTGGTTTGAGGATTTCCGAGTTTTGCCGATAGCGAACTGATTGGAAGGCCGGTGATTTCAAGAATAAGCCTCTTCATCACGCGCGGACGACAACAGGCTCGTAAAGTGCTGAGGAGTCTGTTCTAGTGACCGGCTAGGAACAACGTTGTGGAATTCGTAACAGTATGTTAAATTCATAGCAAATGCGACGACTCAAATTGCCTTGATGGACTTGGACGCTGTGCTTGATGCAATGCGGCTAGGGATTGCTTCGATACATTTCGAATTAACGTCGGTCAGGGTTTGTTACCTAGAATTTCGAGTCAGTACCCCGAGTTAAATATTCCCAGCGCAGATCTGAAGACCCTCACCTGTAAGATACGACGGGAAAAGTCTTGGTCATCGTCAATGCTACCATTGCTTTGGCGCCTTTTTGCCATGAAGTCGCCATCGAAGCGCGAATCGGACGTGGAATCTTGCGACGTAGGCTTGCCAAAGTGCTCAGCGGCAGCGTTATTCGAGTACTGCGGCTGCACATTTGCGCGCTTCCTGAAGCGCCAGAGGAAGAATCCAGCTCCGACAAGGGAACAGAATCCCACTACACCGACAACAACACCAGCAGCAATGGCAGCAGTGTTCGGACCATTCGACTTCTTTTGCTGGTTGACTCCGTTTGTCGTGCCCGCCCCATTGGCTGCTGCTGTGACGACTACTGTCTGCTCCCCTTGCGTGACGACTTGACCGTGACTGCCAGTAGTCACACTCGACCCGCCGTTGGTCGTTGATGTCGAGCTTGAGTTGATGCTGGCAGACGAATCATCCGCGTAGTACGGAACATTGGAACTTACACCAGTCAGGTAGACGGAGAATGTATCTTGACCACCACCTGTTAAATCATCAAGTCAGCACGGCAACGGAACCAGCAAAAGTTATAGAGAAGACCATACACATGACATCAGGCCAGCCAGCGCATTTGACGTTACAATCGGAATTGTCCGTCTTAGCCGACTTCGCGGGCAGCACATTTCCACAGAGACAGTTCGATCCCTTCGTCAAGGCAAAGACAAGATTGTTGTTGGTCTTCATGCAGAGTTGCTGACAGTAGCCGTTACTCTGGTACGTATAGGGGCCTTGGTCTACCAAGGGTGTGGAGTCACTGAAACAACCCTCGCTTACCATGTCGCCGGCGAAGGCTGCTGGAAGGTTGGTGAGGAGCAACGCTGAGGCTGTAAAAGCAGACCGGATTGTGAATGGCTTCATTCTGTGTTTGGTATATGTGACTGTAATATCAAAAAGCGAGAGTTGAGGCGTTAAGCGGTTGATGAGGTTTGGTGAGAAACGAGAGACGGGGGACGACCAGCGTAACCCTTGGATATTATTTTGGGATGTTGTCTTCAATCAACTCCCCGTTTATCCTTCCTGAGTAGCGAGCGCTAGGAACGGTAACGAGAAACAGTCGTCGTGATTCCTCGACGGTCGGACCCAACTTAGACGATTGATATGGCGAGTCGACGGGCGTGAGATGCCAGAGGAGAGCGACGAAAGAGGTATAGTTGAGGCAAAGTTGGAGCGAAGAGGGTGATATCGATGAAAAGCCTGTGATGGTCCTTCTGGAGAAGATGATCCCTTGGCGGGGAAGAAGTTGAGGACCGGTTGTTTCACAAACCCCTTTTGTCGGGAAGCTGAAATGAGCAATTTGAACGGGGCTAATCGCTCGCACCACGGTGTGACCAGTCAGGCAACGACCTCCTTCGCGTCAATAAGGGAAAATTGGGTCTGAGGTAGAACAGAGAAAGCGAGGCGTCGAAGAAGAAAATTAACAAGAAGGACGTCGACAGAGAATACAAGGAGGGTGGTTAATGAAGTCGAACCCTTCCAACATACGATAGAAACGAGTGGAAATTTAGTGGAGGGAAAGGATTATTATGAAAGGGGTGACAACGGAGGAAGAGGACAAGCAGTAGGAGAAGGGTCTGGAGAAAGACGGAAGACACAGACTGAGTGAGCGACTGACTGATAGTGACTGATATTATGAAGAGGGACAGATTATTGAATGGAGGCAGTGGAGGGATTATTGGCTTAAGCGATAATCTCCAGGTTCAGATTATTATTATTAGGAGGGACTAGCCTAAGGTACAGAGTACTCCGTACAGGGTAAGGTAAACAATGCGATCTCTCCCACACAAAGGTAAGGAACCTACTCAAGGATTGGAAAAGCATACGCACGCGGTACGCCATTTTCTGTCTCTTAAGGAGGAACAGTGTCTAAACGGCCTGACCCTGGTTCGCCTCTGACCGTAATTTTACATCCCGCGTAAAGAGCTCCACCCATCATTCTGTCCAATGAAATAAATTACCATTGTTTATATAAGCGCATTTGCCGTGCTGATGACCAGGGGCACAGTAGGTCATTTCCATCTTTGGCTACCCGGCTGGAAAACGGGAGCAATTGTGGT